GGAGCACCGAGGGGACTAGCTAGGCTGTACAGACGCTGCGGTGGACCAGGTAGTGTTAAATCCTTTCCTTCCCGAGAAAAGATTGCTGTGGACACATACAGGCATGGAGGGCAGGAGGGGTGTGCCCACGGTCCACAGAGAGCATCACTATGTCTGTTAACCCAGTGAAATGAAGAGAGGCAGAGACAGAGATTGGGGGACAGAGACGGACCAGAGTAAGCGTTGGATAAGGGAGAACAAAGAGAAATCCTTACAGAGCCCACGAGAGCTGGGGCGACAGTGCTGTTGATATGATCCACGGCCTGCAGGACCCCTAAAGAAGGGAAGAGACAGAGAAAGAAAGAGAGAGAGAAAGAGAGAGGGTGAGGCAAAGAGGAGAGTGGAAAGAGGGAGGAAGAGGACCAATAGAGAGACTGAGAGAGGGAGACAGCAAGGGAAGATCGAGGCCTGATCTTTCACTTTACGCTAGGTCTGTGCCTTTGTGGTCTCTCTGAGGGCAGAGAGACACATCCGCATCATGCCAGCGGATGAGCAGGACCCTCCTGCAGAGCCCCACACACAGGAAGCCCCAAGGACCGCATGTGCAGCAGGCATCTCCCCACCTTTTCCAAGGAAACGTGACTTGTCATTGTCTCTCAGCTCCAGCGCTTCGTAGATACCAGTGGATGCACCGCTAGGGACTGCTGCTCGAAACATGCCTGGGAAACAGCAAAACAGGAGCATGAGACGAACAGAGGGTGAAGAGGAAAAACCCTCATGCACCTGCTTCTGCCCTGCTTTCATGGGCAAGAAGGTAGCAACTGCTTGTGAAAATGGATGGCCCTGCTGGCTGGCTGCTCCTGGCTGTTCTTCTCAGAGGTGGAACACCTCGATGGCACAAATAAATGCACCCAGGGTTTCCAGACTGAGGAACCTGGATCTCAGGCACCCAGAGGTCCACATTGATCCCAGAACTGCGGATGATGAGTGGAAGTCTGGTTCCTCAGCCCTCCTCCTGATTCCAGAGGCAGCCTGAACCACAGCCACCAGCAACTTCTCCCCTTCGCACTGGGATTGGGTTTCTGCCTCACTAAAGAAGGAAGAGAGTGGTTTGTTGCCTGCTCCTCACCCATCAGTTCACACAATTTTGGGCCCAGCATCGATGCAGGTCTTCCAGTTGAGATGGACATGCCTGCACAGAGATGTGAGGGTCAAATACCTTTACCCCTGCCATAAGCATGGCTATGGATGTGTTACCAAACTCGTACTGTGTCCCAGGACTAAAAGCATAGCTGCAGCAGGGCATCACAGGGATGTGACAAGAAGGTGCATATATTTATGTTAACAAAACCTTCCGTCCCTGCTACCAGCAGGTGGATGGCTCAAGTCACATACACAGCAGTCAAGTCCCATCTGTCTTGTCATGATTTGCCCAGCACAAGTGCAGAGTTGCTGAGCATAAGCACAAGCAAAGCCACAAGCAGAGTTTTGGTCTTTGCGTCTTCCCCTGGCTTGTTGTCTGCTGGGGGTTCACTGGTGAAGACCCTCCATGCTCTCAGCGGAGCGTGCCAGGCTACTGCACAGCGCCAGCTCTGCAAGGATGGGCAGGGCTTTCCCTCCATCTCTTATCCTCCCCACATACCTTTGTGTGTGTACAAGTCCACCTCAACGGTGGGGTTCCCACGGGAGTCCAGGATCTCCCGGGCATGGATCCTCTCGACTGCCATAATGAATCTGTGGAGAGGAGACAACAGGACACGTTCAGCCCTGAGAGGCCCCAGGATGTGGTGCTCACCCTTCTGTGTCTAGACTGACAGAGAGAAGGGAGCTGAAGGAAACGTGATCCTATGAGTTGGGGCTAAAACTATTGGCCCTAGGAAATGTAGAAATTCACCCAGACTGTGGGAATCTACTCATAGTCTGTTTTGCCCAGGAACAGGGTATCTATTTGAATTTACTCTGTGCCTTTGCTGCAGATGACAAACTGGGAGTACTCTCTCCCTCTCTCCCTGCGTCACGGCAGAGCGCCTGATACGAGCCCGGATGGCAGGGTTGGGGAGGGTGCCACAGCATCCACAGACAGCAGAGAGGGAGGGATCAGCTGGCACAGTGGGGAGGTGCCCCTGGCTCTGGCGTCAAGGACAGGGTACCAGCTTCTGGCACCTCCTGTCCCCTTGCCGCGAGGCGAGGACAGTGCTTTCCAGGGCCAGGCAGCAAGTGGCTGCTGTGTCCCTGTGCAGTGAACCAGCCAAGAGCGATGGGCAGGGCAGGGGGGCAGCCAACCCGTGGGGACCCTCGGGTCCGTGGCAGGGGAGCTGCTCCAGTTTGGCTCTCACAGACCCCCATCCATGTCGCCTCTGCTGAGCACCCAGCTCAGCCTTCCTGTCTCCTCCATGAGCCGCCGGGTCAGGCTGTGCTGAGGCGGCGGGAGCATGGAGGCCAGCAGCCTGAGGAGACATCCTGCTGAAGGCCACGGTGCCTCAGACATGGTAGAGAGGGCTCTGAAGGAGGAGGGACCTGGCCCAGATGCCAAACCTTCACTCTGTTCCTGAGACAGTGAAGTGGATGAGGCTGGGAGGTATCTCTGTCGGATGAGGAGGGGGAGGAAGCATGGCGTTTTGGGCATCTGGTTAAATCTGAAGTAGACAACAAGCTGGTGGGTGATGATGGCTGTTTGAAAGAGCTTCTCTTGCTGCAGTTTGCTCCATAGGGGGTCCAAACCATCTCATTCCCACTATGCCACCTTCTCATTCTCCTGGCTGTGGGCCTGTGCAATGCCAGGGTGCTGCAGAGAGGTGCATGTTCCCCCACGCCTCCAGCCCTCCCAGGTCTTCCTCCCCCGGCTCCCACAGATGATTCGCTGAACCCCGAGCAGGGCTGGCAGAGGCCGGAGTAACCACGGGGCCCCAGCCAGGACCTCCCCGTGGTGTGTGTGAGCAGGGGCACAGCCAGAACAGGGGCTCAGCGCAGGGTGGGGTGGGATAAGCTGGAAATAGCACATCACAGCACTAGGGGGAGCTAAGAAGCAAGCTGGGGGAAGCCAGAGTCAGCGCTCGACCCCGCTGCCCCGGGTGGGTGGAAATCACACGGGTGTGAGGAAATCGTGCTGCTGCTCTGAAGTTTCAGCCAGAGCTTCCCGTATTTGGGAGTTTCAGTTAGCGACTCCAGGGTTCTCTGAGCCTGCGCAGGGCCCTCCACCATGTCCATCTGGGCTGGGATCCCCCATCAGACACTTTGGCAGTGCTCCTCACGCCATCTGGCACACGCCACAGGAACTTCCTCCAGAGCCGTGCCCGTGCAGCTGCGAGCTTCCTTTGCAGCAGTGTCCTGGCCATGCCTCAACAGCCTCCACGGGGTAGAGAGGGACAGTACCCCAATTAAAGTGAGCTTTGACAGCGAGTCCCGTGCCTGATGCTGTGCCTTTCTGCTTATGTGGTCACGTTGTCCATGGTCACATCCCTCTGGCCACATCCACCTGCTCCTGTTGGAGCTAGCTCCGAGGAAGCCAAATGACAAGCCAAATCCAGCCTTGCTTGCCCCACCCCATCACTCACATGATCTCTTTTCCCTCTAGTCCTTTAAACCCTTTACTCCGCTTGTGTTGCTGCCCCGTGTCCCCCTGAGCTTGCCCTCCTTTGAACAGTGCAAAGAACCACCCTGAAATCCCTGGCATCAGCTGCACTGTCCAGAAAGGAGGTCAGAGGCGGATAAGCCAGGATAAGGGATTGGGATGGAGCCCATAGCTGGGAGGCCATAGACCACAACCAGGGGGAGAGAGGAACCAGGCTGGATGCTGTGCATCCCCCCGTGAACAGGGGCTGGGCAGCGCACCCCGGGAGGCTGGTCCTGCTGCAGTGCCTTCCCGTGGGCACCGCTCCGTGGCACTGCCTGTCACCAGGGCAGCGTCTCGCTGTAGCTGGCGCTGGCAGCAATTCCCCCTCCCCGCCAGGCGGGCCAGCACGGTGAAGACCTTCGTCCCAAGCCACCGCCACCAGTCCCGTGTGCTGCTGCGATTCTCCCGGGCTGGGCACTGCTCCCAGGAAGCCCGCACTGCTGCAGTGTCGTGGCTGATGCAGCTATTGCTTGCTTGACTGTCACCTCCTCTCCCTGCTGCCCCCCCTCCCCTGTGTGGTGTGGGGCTGTGCAAATAGGAAAACACCCCCTCTCCTCCCTCCCTCTCCCGGAGCGCCCGTGGTTATGTCAACGCATCGGGAGACGGGGGCGGTTGGTCTGCCCTGAGGCTGGATCCTTTTCCCAGCAGTGCCCAGACTGAGCTTTGCGTCCTCCCCACTACCACCCCCTCCCCCAGGGAAAGCTCCATCCCGCAGCACCTCCCGACAATGCCCTGGGGAGCACCCCTTATCCTCGTTGGTTGCCCCCCTCCTGCAATTCCCTAGGTTCGCATCTGAAATGATGATTGCCTGGAGGGGTAAGGGGGGGCTAGGGAAGGAGGGAGTACCTGGAATTAAAATATGAAAGAAAAGTGAGAAGGTTGTGGGTGAGGAGAGATAGGTGGGAGGAGCAGGGAGAGGAAGTGAGGGGAGTTTAGTTGTTAATGCTGCTCACCGTGGTCCTTCTCTGCAGGGACCCCAAAGTGCGTGTGGGGTTTGGAGGGCACAAGGTGGGGAGCAGAAACATGCATGTGGAGAGGGGGGTGCTGGCCGTGGGGAGACACTTACCTTCCTAGGGCAGGGGTGAACGAGAGATTGAGAGAGTGCTGGTAGAAAGGAGAGAGGACGAAGCTGAGGAGGGATGCAGGACCTCAAGGGGAGATGATGTGTCCTCTAAGCCAACGGCGGCAGCAGCAGCAGGATGGAGACGCCCCTGATAGGGCCGGGACAGCAGCATGTGACCCAGAGCTGCGATGAGTCAGGATTTAGCAAAGCTTTGCAAACAGCACGTAGGGGATGGAGAGGGAGAGAAAGGCAGGCAGCAAGGGATAGACGTAGACAGACTAGGGTGAGAGAACCAGGGAATAGGAGTGGGTGTGCAGGATAAACAATCCCAGTCACTCCGGGCTCATTAATTATTTTTATTCAAATCGGAAAATCTTGCAGGATTTTTGGGAGCCATAAATCGAACCACAGAACCTATAACTCTCCCATTTTCCCTCTTGGGCCTACCAAGAATAGAACATATCAGTGCAGTGACTGCAAAAACACTGCAGTGCCTCAGGGCAGCTTCCAGGACCAGGGTGGGTAGCCCTCCTCTTTTGTCCAGAGGTAAAATGAGGTGAAGCTGGTACCTACAGCTCTCACGTTCCCATCCGCACATGAGGGGAAAGGCATCTCCACATCCTGACAGCCTCTGGGAACAGGTATTAAAAACAGAGGTCACTCAGTCACACCATCCCCTTGTGATTCTTCCATTTCCTGAAGAGACACATCATCCTTGAGAGATCCTTCCATTTCCTGAAGAAGGGAAGAGGGAGAAGTTAATGAATCCATGCCCAACTTCTTTTCCCCTTTCATCACCCTCTTTGGCTAGTGGGGTTGGGAATGACAGCAGGGCTGCATGCTGGCCATCAGAACCAGGTTGCAAAGCCCAGTCTCTTTTTTAGGCTCTTCTGCACTTGGAACTGATGCCCCTCACCCTTCTCCTCATATAATCCGGAGGGAGGTGAGGCTTCATCAGCATGTTTGATCCTTTTTCTTTCTTTTTACTTCCTTCTTCTTCCCCCTACCATGTTGTTCTCACCTTTTCTTTTTCTTCCTGCCTTGTCTGACGAATTTTCATCGCCTCTTCCTGCTCATCTTGCTCAACTACTTCCTTGTCAAGGCGTTGCAGGTGTGGCAGCAGGGCAAGGACCTCCAGCCGGTAACTGGGTTCATCAGCACATGGGTTGTCCAACAGCACCAGTGCCTGCAGCATGGGAAGAACCTGCAGTTTTTCCACTTCCTGAAAGCTACTGATCCCATTGTTCCTGAAGGAAGCACAAGAGAGCGGGGGAAAGAGATCCGTGCAAGGAGTGAGATCCCTTTGGAACAGTAAGTGGACAAGACAGACAAAGCAAAACTTAGCAGCATGATGGACCGTAGACCTTAGACCACAGATCTGTCACCTAAGATCCAGATCTGCCTGCAGCTCCCCAGACTGAGGGACAAACAGGACATGTCCTCTGGATTTCTCTGTGCTCAGACAGTCCATTGAATCACGTGATATCTCCAACACCCTTTATGGCAAATGCTGAGAACTAAAGGGCACTTGCAAACAGGACATAGAGAATATGCTTTGAGGAATCTGATGGAGTTATGGCAAGGAATAAAAATCATGAGGTGGAGTATGAGAGTGACTGGAGAAGCAGATATTTCCTGAGAAGCCCAGGAGAGGTTCTGACTGTTACACATCTAAACAACTGGGTGCTGAATGCCAGTTAAGAACAGTAAATATCAACCCATCCCTACCAGGTCTTCAATTTCCAAAGAAACCAGAAAATCCTAAAGATCTAAATGGGAGTACAGTCTGATGAAAGAATCTCTGGTCCCAACACAGAGCAGGGAAGACCCACCGTAGATTGAGATACTGCAGGCACTTCATGCTACTGGAGAATCCACTCAGGGTCTCCAGCTTGTTGTCACGCAGGTGCAGAGTCTCCAGCTGCTCAAGCCCCTCGAGGCCTTCAAGGCTGCGGATGTTGGTCTGGGCCTGAGCACCAGGGAGACAGGAAGAGAGAAGGGAAAAGGGGACACGCAGCAGTTATTTCTGGCCTTTAAAGCTCTTTCTACCCTTCAGACTTTCTACCACTCATAACACAGCCTTCTCTGAAGCTATATCAGGTTGTTCAGGGTCTTGGCCAAGTGGTCATTCATCTAAGCACTCAGATTCAAGGACCAAAAGTTTGCTGAAAAAGTGTTTCCTGGAGCATCACTTGGTGTCTGAGACAAAACCACCCCAGGTGAATATTCCATTGCCAGCACAGTACCCCCTTCCATGGCAGTGCCAAATATGGGCCTCAGAGAGCAACTGTGTGGAGGGGAAAGCTCAGACCTGAGCCTAAAATGAGCGTATTTAAAGGATAAGTAACCAGCCCCTCTCAGTCACATAGTCCACGTAGTCTAGGCATCTTCCAGTCCCCCAGAGGAGGAAATCTACTACCAAGAAGTCTCTTCTACCCCTCTGGTAGCAGAAGCAGGCTGTGTGCTCCTGAGAGAGGAGGGGGGTAGGGGTTGCTGGTTGGTTTAATTTTAAGATTTTTCAGGTATAATTGTTGTTATTCATCATAGGTGCACCTTCTTGAAACAAATCTGAAAATCTTAAATCAGGAAGTTTAAAATTCCCCATCACTGAATTTCATTCGCTTTACTGTGATGTGGGTTAACGAAGAGGGAAAATAACGAAGCTCTGAATATCAGGAATAGTTTCTCAGCAAGATGTCGGCCAGAAAAGGCCACTAGAGGTCTCCAGCCCAAGCGCGGGCTCCCCGCAGTGAGAGCACCAACGATCTGTCAGGCTGCTCACCGCCTTGTGCCGCCAAGTTTGGAGCATCCCTCGTAACTGCCACCTCCCCGCCACGTTCTCAGCTTGGAGCTGAGCACGGCTTCACTTGCTAAAGTGGCTCGGGGCCGCAGCCTCTAAGTCTCTGAGGACACAAACACCTGAACGGGAAACGAACGTGGAGAGAGGTGCTGTTGTGCTCTCTGTTCCTCGTAGGTACCCAGGCAGTGATGTAGACAATACCTGAGGCTAATAAAGGGACACAGGATGAACTGGTGGGATAGGAGAACACTTTAGGGCTGGGTCACTCAGGAAAAGGACATTTTGTAGAAAAGGAGCATTTTAATGGAAACTGGACAAGGGAGAGTCTGGACCAGCTGGGCCAAGTAAAAAGAGTAACACATGGACAAAAAGAGGAAAGTTGGATATTTAGTGAAGGTCACATGAGCAGATTTAACAGTCAGGGAGGATTAGGACATTGTACCTCAGAGGAAATTAGAAGCTGGGGTGAGTGGGGAGCTCACAGACCACTGGTTTGTAAATAGTAACCTCCCATCACCCTCACTTTCTTCATGACTTCAGTGTGAATAGTTTTAACAGCTCTGGCCTTGCAAGCACTAGCAGGACAATGCAGAATGGACATTTTTCAGGGTTGTTTTATTCTTTTTTCCCCTAAATCAAATAACATTCCATTTGACACACCATCACCTCACCTTACATTCCAGTTCTTCAAATGGATGAGATGCCGCCGTTTTGTATGGAAAGCTACCATAGTATAGTTGCCCATGATTCCCTCTCCACTTCCTGCACACTTCACCTTCTTCTAGTCAGCCTTTGCCCCCGCTGCTGCACCAGGACCAGGAGCTAACACAGTCCTACTTTGACCCTCAAGCTGCTGCAAGTGCCACATGGTACACAGCCAGCTTATAGTCTTCATGTTAGTACCTAAAACTTTTTACATACTAAATTTCATCTCTAGCTATGTCACACATTAACCAAATGTGGTTCAGTTTGTTTAAACTGAACCCTTTGTCTTGAACCCTGTCTTTGAGGCATCAGCTGCACCTACCCAAGGCTGAAGTAACACCAAAATCTTTATAGAGAAAGCCAAGCATTGCTGAGAGAGATTTCCCTGCCAAAGGATGTAATGAGCATGGTGGACATGGGAGACAAATTCAAGCCCCAAAGATTCCTGACAGTCAGTTGTTCTAGTTTTAATAGAACAATGCAGTTTTCCCGCTTCATTTGGGCAGCTCAGAAACCCCTCAATCATACCAGGAACCTTGTTTAAATACAGATGCTGTATTTGCTTCACTCCAATAACTCACTGAAGTGTCTGGTTATGCTTTGAAATGCTGTATTGTATCTAGTGACTTATCCACTTCACCCAGTCTTTGAGAACCTCTAGATCTAAAATCCCAGTTTTCCACTAGAAAATTGCAGGCAATCTCAGCAAGCAATCTCCTCAGTGTTTTCTGCCAGGAAGACTTGATGAAAAGAAACCACATAGGTTTTCAAAGCCTTTATAATATTTAATTGCTTTTTAAGAAGTAGTGACTCAGGTTATCTATCTAGTCTTTGCAAGCTGTAGCACTGTGTGATGCGTGGCCATACACACATAGATAAGCCATACACATACATACACACAGGTCATGCTTACCCTCTTCACTTCCTCCTCTAGTAGTAAATGTTCTCTGAAGAAATTGTTTATGATATGAGGAAATTGCTTCTCCTACCTGAGTTTTACTGTGATGTTCAATCAGTTTGTTGGTTTTTTTTTTTGGCAGCTGAAGGTCTGAATCATATAGTTTAAACCAGTATTTTATTAGGTCCATCAGAGAGGAGGAAGAGGCACCTCCCAGTGTCACCCAGAGCAAACCTGTTGCTTTGCCCAGTGATCTCCAGTAGTCCCAGGACACTTGAATATGAGCTTGCCTAACACTGCCTGAAAGGAAAACTGCTCTCCTGCAGGAGGTCACGGGGGAAGAACTTGACACACTGAATGTTGCCAACTCCTCTGCAGTTTGTGGTTAGTGGCTACTCCCTTTGCGCTATCTGGGCCCACAGCGAACATGGAGCTACTCCAAAGAAGTGATTTGGTCTCTTTAGTTCTCTGAAATCTGTTGCTCCCTCAGGCTGAAAAGACTGAACTCCCTACCTCCCACTGGCTGGAGGTGCCAGGCTCTGCAGCCAGGCTCTGTCCCACTCCCCAGGCTGGTCGATCCCTTACCAGATAGAGTTTCTTGAGCTTGGGAAGACTGAGCCCTGCTGTGGTCTTTAGTTTGTTTCCTCGCAGCTCCAGGACTTCCAAGCTGAACAACTGGTCCTTACTCAGGCCCAGCATTGTCTGGATTTTATTTTCTGAGTGCCAGAGGAAGAAGAAACAACAAGAGAGTTAATCCCACCCAAAGAGTGTCCCCACAAGAGTGAAGAGAGGTGGTCTGTATCACCTTTCAGGCTGAGGGTGGCTAAGCGGGGGTGAGTAATGCCTTCCATATCCTTGATGCGGTTGCGATCAAAGATGATGACCTGGAGATAGGACAGCTCCTGCATGCAGGCACTGGTGAGCAGGTTCCCATCTACCTTCAGCCAAAGCAGCTCTGTTAGGTTGCTCAGTGGAGACAAATCTTGCAGCTTGTTCTCTGACAAATCCACATACCGCAGGTGAATGAAGCTTTTGAGCACGCTGATGTCTGTCAAGTTCCTGAGGGAGGGAGAATGTGAATGAAACATCTCTCATATTTCCCCACCACTAGCTTTTGGTTTGCTCCTTGCAACTACTGGAGGGAGGGCAACCTCCTCTTGCACTTGCCTGCTACCCTAGAAAGCCTTGCTGGAGAGAAGGAAGAAAAAGGCAGGTGATAGGGACAGGCCAAACAAGGACAAATGGTAAGATTTGACCTCCTTTCCTGGCAGAGGGAGTACTTATTCCCATTGAAATGTATCTGTCAGGAGAGGGCAGAACCAGAGCAGAAAAGAGGGTAAGTTTTGGGGAGGGGTGTGTTAGACAGCAACTGTGTGTAAGGACTTTACTAGTGGGAAAAATGGTGGTTGACATATGTATGAGGCTGCTGAAAGAAACAGTCTTACTGAGGCCTCTTAGTTAGGTCCAGGGTAATGTGGGTGTGCTGATCCGGAGGCCACTGTGGCACTGTACTTACAACTGCATGCCTTAAATGTTAGTTAATGGGACAGATGTTAGTGGATTTTCTCAAAGTGCCTGTAGGGAGGTCACCCGGTTCAGGCTCCCCTAGGAGACCACAGCACAGAGCAAGGGGCAGGCTCCCCTCAATCCTTAGAGACACTGATGTCCTACTAGTGCGTCTGGCTGTGGTGGAGGCTGTGCCCACCTCAGGGCTGAGGATGGACAGGCTGTGCTAAGGCACAGACTGGAAGCCAGGCGGCTGGAGAGCAGTGCCTGGAAATGCTCCTGCCCCGCATGGCCCGTCACCAGTTTATGGCACAGCTGCTCCATGGCTGCGGGTGGCTGTGGAGCTTCTGCTGGGGCAGGTGCTGCACACTCACATTCCTTTGGCTTCAAACTTCACGTAGGTGTGGGCCAGCCCGTTGCCCGTCTTACTGAGGAGAGACAGGCCCTCCTTCAGTACTTCCTCCGTCAGAGGACAGGGAGCCGGCACCTGGGAGAGGAGGAGAGAGCACAACACCAGCGCTGGCCTACGCACAGCCGGGCGGTGCTGAGGGCCCCCCCCTCACCTCTTCTTCCTTCTTCTCCTCTTCCTCCCCCTCCTCCTTCTCCCCCTCTTCCTCCTCCTTCTCAGGGCTGTGCTCGTCCCCCTCCTGCTCGTCGTCCTCCATCCTCCCAGGACAGAACCCTGCTCCCTCTTCCCGCGGAGGCTGCTCCCAGAGGCCCGGCGGCGCGGGCCGCGGCTCCCGCTGCCATGGGAACCGGGGGCGGGCACGGCTTCCCGGGAGCGGCGCGGAGCCGCCGCCGGGGTGGGCTCTCGGCTTCCCGGGGCACCGTGTCCTTTGGGTAGTCACTGCCACATGGAAAGCTGAGAGCGTGTCCCGCCGTCATCAGAAGCACTTTGCTATCCCACTCCACCTTCCCAGGTGTGTGGGAACAATCTGCAATTGTTGGCGTATCCAGTGAACTGAAGGATTATTTTGGTGGGAAGGGACCGCTGGAGGCCATTCTGTGTGCACTTCAGCTCAAAAAATGGAGCCAGCTTCACAGTCAGGCTGGGCTACAGAGGGTGATGGTCACTGAGGCAGTGAATGTCCTGAGGAAAGACATTCCTTCCAGTAAATGTTTAATTAACATGTTGAGCAGAATTGGGCTCGGGGTCTTCATGAAACCTCCCCAGACATGACTGCCTGGATGCCAGGAAGGAGCTTTTGGGGTCCACCGCTCCAGCCCTCTGCTCCAGGCTGTGGAGACGGAAAGGGGTGAAGCTGCCCACGCCCAGCCAATGCCAACAGTGCCTGCAAGAGCCGGGTGTTTACCAGCTGGGAACACTACTCAGAGCTGACAGTCACCAGTGATTTGCAGTCAATACAAAGTCCAAGGCCCTGCTCCCTTTCCCTCCAGTGGACTTCACTCCTCTGCAGGCCCTGGGAAGTGTCAGTATTAGATAAGCTGGTGCAAGTGGAGCTGGATGTCAGACAGGAGTGTGCCAGCCATCGCCCCTCCTGATACGTACTCCTCTGTGCTGAGGGTTGCATGGCAAGCTGCCATCTCTGTCCCACTGGAGTATCCAGTTGTCCCTCTGGACACTCTGTGTCCCTGTAGCCCCTTCTCCTGTGCTACATTTGCCCCATCTGAATTCAATCCCTGCTCATTATTGTAGAATCACAGAATGGTTTGGGTTGGAAGGAACCTTAAAGATACCCACTTCCAACCCCCCCTGCCATGGGCAGGGATAGCACCCACTAGACCAGGTTGCTGAGGGCCCCATCCAACCTGGTCTTGGAGACCTCCACGGATTGGGCATCCACAGCTCCTCTGAGCAACCTGTTCCAGTGCCTCACCACCCTCACAGTAAAGAATTAACCTGCACGTGAACTTTTCCTTTCCTGCCTTTGATTCCTGCCCTAAATATCCCCCAATTACAGGAGGAAAGCCAAATCTTTAAAAGAGAGAAATTTTATTTAGGTTATATACGTATGAAAAGAAGGATCCCAAACCTAACTATACTGGTCATTAGGGAGGTTATGTGCTAAAAGTTGGTTTGCATAACCACAAAGGAGCACAGGGTGATGATGGCAGGAGGGGGAGCCCAAGCAGCACCCTGCTGGGCTGCTTCCAGGCACATCCCAGTGGCCATCAGCCCACTAGAGGCCCATCTTGATGAGCACAGGGACACAATGGCAGATCGGAGCCAAAATTAAGGACTCATAGAAAAGGACACCCTGTCTGACCCCCTCCCACAGCTGTCCCAGGGGATCCTGACCCCCAGAGCACCTTTAGGATTGGGATGTCACTGTGCTCAGGGGTGTGAGACACAGGACAGGATGCGAGAGACAGGACGGGATGCAGGGGAAGAGCTTTTGGGTATTGCATAGTACTCATTAGGGGGTGTTTACAGCAGGAACCAAAGGCAGGAAAGGGAGGGATCTAGATGACTTGTGGGGAAACAAGTGTGGGATACAGAAATAAAAAGGGCCAGTCATGTGTAAATGGTTTGTGATGGTTTGGCCATTCCCTGCACCTGATCAGTGCAGCCTGTCCCATCTTCTCATTAAACTCCATTCACAATTTGCCCTGGGTGAAGGACTTGTGGCCAGGGAGCTGACTACTGGGGGACCAGAAAGACTGGAGAGATTGGGATGGGGGGGGCAGCTGCTGGACACTGCCTGAGCCCAGCTGCTGGACAGACACACTGTACATGTGTGTGTATATACATATATAAATACACATATATACGTGGGTGCACATGAGTGTACTTCTATCCTGCTCAGCCAGAACACAGGGTGGCATGAGGCTGCTGGCACTGTGTGTGAGTGCTCTGTGTGGCTGGATGTGTAATCTGTGTGGCCATCCATGGTTATATGGTTAAGTGATGTGTATTCAGAATCACAGAATATTCTTAGTTGGAAGGGACCCAGGAGGACCTGTCAATGTGTGTGTGTGTGGTGCCTACTGGAAATACAAGCTCAGCCTGGCTATTGTTTGGGACTGAGGACACGGAGCCACCACAGCCTCTCTTGGACTGTTCCATCTGACACAATGCATTTTCCCCCAATAGCAACCTGTTTAAGACTCAACCACTACAGTGTGCAGGGAGGATCTGGCACTATTTCCACTCCATAGAGCTGCAGTCCTGCCAGAAAGCAGACAAAACAGAAGAAAAACAAGATCTGGCACTCCTGCTGATACAGAAATGATTTTCCTTGAGTTTATTCCTCATTAAAGGAATGCTTTCATGCCTCTATATTCTCCTCAAAGCAGCCAAGATCAATGCTCAGCTCCCATCTGTTTTTTTTCTATGTAGGTCACTCTCCTGGGCTCTTGTGCTGTGGGCAGGACTGGGCAGGAGCAGGAACTGACAGTAGAGCTGCAGCCAGCAGCCAATCCCTGTGAATGATTCTATCCACTCCCAGCAGCCTTAGGCCCCCTGCATGTTCCTGCTGCATCACCACTGCTCTGGCCACGCTGACCCCAGTGCACTGTGGCACCAAATTGCAGCCATGGCCCAGCAGCCTCTCAGAAACACAGGCTCTGGTCATAGACAATACAGCTTTCAGAATTTTTTTCACCTTTTAATTATCCTCCTCCTCCCCAAGTCACTCCACACGCACCTGGAGCTGGGAGCTGCCACCTCCCTCCTTGCTGCTGTCAGGCTCTTCTTTCTTATACCATCTGACATCCTTCCATGTCAGATGACCCTGCTCTCACCAGACAGCTTCCCAACAGTGCTTATCCCACTACCACCTACCAGTTTCAGCACCATTTTAGCCTGTCTCTCCTTCCACAAGAAGCTGTGGCAGCAGAGGGCTCTGCTCCCAACTAGGAAGGAGATGCCTCTGAAGGGCAGAGGGCTTTTTCTTTCTCATCTGCTCCAGCTGGGCAGCAGGAATTCCCCCCCAGCAGCAGCTAGGTGGAAGCCCCCACAGCATTAGGCTTTCTCCTCCTTGGTCCTCAGCTCCTGCCTCTCATCCCTCAGGTGATGATGGCACTTGCAGCTGGAACACTGCCCCTACACTCCCAAGGATATGCCACCTCATAGCTAAGCTCCTCCTTGTGAGGCACTTCCTTTTTCATCACCCTTAGTACTACTGAAAAAAAAATCAGCAGCTGGGAAGTAACATCTAGTCTTGTGTCCTCGCCCACCAGCACACAGCTGAAAGCAGGCAGCAGGCACAGCCTCAACACACAGCCTAAAATCCTTCCCTGCACAGGGAGGGAGCTGCTCGCTCCACATTTAATGAGCAGTCCATTACCAGTCCTCACAGGTAGAGCACAGGGATGAGCACATTACAGAGCCTGCCTGGAAAGACTAGCTCACTAGTGGGACAGCCAGGTGCTCCAGCAACTACTGGAACAGAGACACTGATGGAAAAGATAGAGTCAAGTCATCACAGGCCCAAAGAAGAGCTGTTACATGACAAACCAGGTGCAGGCTGAACCTGTGCAATGCCTACTGGGACAACAGCGGGCCCTCAAGGAAGAGCCTACAAAAACCACACTACCCTCTCTGCAACCAGCCACCTCCAAAAGCACCAGGTTCTGTATGCTGCCTGTCCCAAGCTGCTTCCAAATAAGATCCAAGACACACCCTTGCTTTTTCAGTTTTTCCTTTATTGTTCAGTATGGGACACAGGTGAGGTAAGACGTCTCACAAAGGTTGAAGCTGACAGGCTCCTTGCTGATGGAGCTGAAGGATGCAGACTGTGTGGTTCCTTCCCCCAGCACCAGTGGTCCCCTCCCACTGCAGTACTGCAGGGAAAGGGGGAGATACTGGCCAGGTGGGCTGTGGGCTCTTAACAGGTCAACAGGCAACTGAGGATTCTGCCAATTCAGAGGAGGCTGTCAAGACTTTGCTGAGACAGGCTCCCACTAACAGGACTCCAACATGGTGGGGGTGGTTAGCAGAACAACTAGAACAATGACCGTGGAGGGGGAAAGCCTTGGAGGAGGCCTCTGTACTGAGACGTGTGCAATGAAAGGTCCCTTCTTGTTTCCATTTCTTAACCACAAGGGACTGCTCCTCACAGGTGCTTCAGTGTTTGGCATTGATAATATCCACAAACTCTGGCTTGAGAGAAGCTCCACCAACAAGGAAGCCATCCACATCATGCTGAGAGGCCAGCTCCTTACAGTTGCTACCAGTGACTGAACCTAAAGAGGGAGCAGTGTTTTAAGGTCAGATGCAGCCAGGACAGGGCCAGGACAAAGGCAAGACCTGCAAGGTACCAGCCACCTCTTGCAGACAGCAAGACTGTCTCCCATTTACCCAAGTAAGCTAACAAACAAGCTAGTAGGTGGTTCTTCATGCTCTGACAGTCTCAAGTTTCCTCACCAAGCAGAGCATGATGTACAACTACAGCAACAGGCAGAGAAACTAAGCACTTTCCTGCCCTGGAAAGTGGCTTCAGACTCACCGCCATAGATAATCCTAGTTGACTGAGCAACAGCATCAGACACATGGCTTTTCAGCCATCCCCGCAGCTTCTCATGAACTTCCTGAGCCTGCAATAGAACACAAGAGTCCCACTGAGGGCTGAGCCATTCTGCACACAATTCCCTTCCAAAGAGAAGGGAACCATTAGATAATCTTTAAATCCTTAAGTCTAAAATTCTCCAAGTTGCTAAGAATCTCCAGAAAATCGTCACTAAGAATCCCCAGGAAGATTTCTTGAGTGGGAAGGGTCAGTTGGCATCAAATCAGCCCCCCTTCTCCTGCTCATACCTGTTGGGGAGTTGCAGTTTTACCAGTTCCAAT